TAATAATATATATTTTCCTAAGGAAAATGATTGAGAATGCGTGATGATAAATTCTTAATGAGTGATTTTATATACATATTTTGTCCAAGTAAAGGAAAAATCAGACTACAATGCAAAATTTATCCAGGTGTGTGCTTTCGAAGAGGATCTTTGTCATGAACGCGATGGGCTTGAAAAACAGAAAGCAGCTCTTCTAGAGAAGAACAACAAGCTGGAGCAGAATCTCGAGGTATAGAACCCATTGCCTTTCTGATTTTTTTGGCTTCAGCAATAATTTTCTAAGCTGTCATTCTCAGATGCATTTATCAAGCTAATTTTGATTTTATCAAAATGGGATAATTGTATATTATAATATTCCACAGATACTACGTGTAGAGTTTGACAAGAGTGAGGATTATTGGACTCTAAAGCTGCAGGAAGAGCAGGATTATTATGAAGAAGAGCGACGCTTATATGATGAGAAGTTCTCTTCCCTGGAAAAGAAAATCCGGGAATATGAGGAGCTCGTTCTCTCAGGTGGTGGTGGGGGACGTGACAATTCTGATGAGTCTGACCGACTGTCAACCATTGATGAGAGTGCCATTTGGGAGAAACAGGTAATGAAGGTTGAATTAAAGCATGATACTTACCTGGAAATACTTTAAGAGAGGATAAATATTCAGAATACCTTTGCATGACTGATCATGACAATAGTGACTCATGATTTGAAAATATTCAGTGGAAGCCCCCAATACCCACAGTCATGACCCCAATATCAGAGGAATTACCAAGATAATTGCAGGATAAATAGGAATGATATACTTGGAATCAATACACTTCCATGAAACAGTATACGAACTTATTCTGTGTATTATCATATTAGTTATGTATTTCATGACCATTCTTCATATTTTATGCCACAATTTCCCTGGTACCTTCTTTGCCCTTCTCTGCTAACAGGACCAATAATGTAGGGGTGGCAAATGTCCTCTATATATGGGTAGTAAAGGGTAAATAGCACTATCAGCATGATTGGTCATGCAAAGGTATTCTGAGCAATTACCTGAGAGAGTAATCAGTTACCATTCTTTCTCTTTGTATCTCCATACGAAGTATTGAAGTGTGGGATGTGTTGGGATGGAAAGGGTGTCTGGGAAATAATTTAAGTTATTTGTGTTTCAATGATTTTAACTGAATTCTTTCTGTTCAATAAAAAACAGGTCACAGAGTTAGAGGAGGAGGTATCTCTACTGAAGAAGCAAGTGGATGATTTAAGGGAGGAACGGCAGAGGATGGTCAGTAGATAGAGTGCATTTCATTTTCTTTCTAAAGCAATGTGTAATTCATTATTAATGCATTAAAGACCTCACATTCCTTTTGTATTTGTTATACATTACTTGTCAAAGTTTAGAAAAAATACAGAGTCCAAATTTATGGCATTTTTGTGTTCCATATACTGGGAAAGAATTATGAAAAAATATGAGAAATGTAGAAACGTGATGAACGTTTATATTTAGGTTTGGACTTGACACTGAAAAAAGAACAAATTTAGAAATGAAAATCTGACTTCATATTTAGGCATATTCCCAAAGCAGTTTATCGCTTAATGTGGAAAATGGGTGTCGCACTTTGGTTGAATTCCAGCACAGTTTTTATGCTATGAAAGAGAACTAAAATGTTCATAGTCTTCACTACTTGGCTATTCTGTTAAGAAAAATTATAATATTTATGACAGGTTTTGATTTATACTTTTGATTTAAAGATAATCCGTCTTAAACCTATGATGATGGGGCCTGAATTTCATGTGATGTAATATTATGCAACAGTTGAGAACTTGGGGCTAGGACTAAGCTGTCTACAGCCAGTCCACCTATTTCGAGTCATGACATGTATATACACCTTAGGCCATTATGTCATGACAGCAATAGCTGTCACTGAAGGGTTAAAATCAATATTTTTTATGAATTAATGTAGATCTTATGAAACATGTATTGTAGCGATATACAAGATGTTTTACTAGAGAAGTGTATAATTGGTTTGAAAATTAAATTATGAAGTATAAAAAGAGCACTTTAAAAGATAGCATAATTGTTAATACTAAGAAAATTTCATAAGCTGGGTAATTGAAAGTATCTGTATTTGTTTATAATTATACTGAAAATGTATATAAGCAGGCATTAAATGTTTTTAAAAATTATGTAAATGCTCTGCAAGCAGGAATGTGTCTGGGAAGCTCGTGTCCAAGAGGAAAGACAGCTCGCAAGTCAGAAGTGCAGCGGTCTTCAGGATCAGATCTGTAACCTTACCACACAACTGCATCAGGCTCAACACCAAGTGAATTCAGGTTTGTAGTGTTCATATTTCAGAGTTGATACAGTATATGGTAACTACTATACAAGAATTATTAATGTTATTAGAAGAATCAATTTGTATGATTTTAGTGACAAGATGCTTTACCAGAGACAAGTAAGATTGTAAATCCAAATGCTGCTGTTCATTTCAGTCCTCGAAGAATTAGACAAAGTGCGGAGAGAGTCAGAGCAGCGCATCAAAGACCTTTCTAATCAACACAGACTGCGCTCACAGGTTGGTTGATTTGTAACAGATTTGGCATGCTAAATTGTACAGGATTGTGATTTTTCATGTGACTTTTTTTTTTTTTTTTTTTTAGATTGATTTTAATTTTCTATTTTTTGTAGGATAATCCTCCACTTGTGAATGGCCATGGTGTAGAAGCTGAAGGAAGATTAAGTCCCAATACACCAGATGAAGACAGACAGTTCTTTCAAGTATGTTAATTTCTGCAAGAGAATGGATTTGTATGTTCTTCATAATATCATACATGTGAATATGCATGAAAATAGGGGATAAAATTTTTTTTGCTTTTCTTCACTAGGGTGCCGGAAGTGTTGGCGAAGAAACAATCAATGGATCATTAAGAGCTCAGTTGCGTCAGTGTCAGAGTCGTCTCCGTTATCTGGAAGCTGCATTGCGCCAGCATCACACTCACGCACATCATATACTCACAGGTAGCTATTTTGCTTATTGTATTGTAAAATAACTCCAATATTGTTTGCGAGTGATCACTTATTTTTATAATTGACTTTTTGTTAATTGTACTGCATTATTTTCTTTGAACTTTTCCTGATTTACATTTTTATCACCAGTAACAAGGGAGCAGCATGCAGCAGAAGTGCAGAATCTTGAGGGCATGATGGCTGCCACACAGCAGATGCTTGGCCAGCACATTGCCAAGTATAAAGATCAGGTGAGGGCTTCTGCCACAAGCTCATGCAGAAAGTTAAACAAGATTACTCATGATTGGGGTCGATCATGGAGATCATCAAGCGGCTGGGATCATCCTAGTCAGATTTTGGGGATTCTGTGTGGCATCTTCCAGTCAGGGATGGGTTTCCAGACACACATCATTCTACCAAGTTGGCAAAAGTCTTGGAGAGCATAGTGTATATTTTAGACAAGTTCAGAAGAACACTTTTAATATATCATTTAATTACCAAAGTCACCCATCACATCTATATATTTTCTAAATGTTATGACTGTAGGTGTGAATCCCTACACAATAAGTGAAGGATAGATATTTAAATTTTTGTTAAGAATGCAATCAGCCACCATCAATATCTACAAATATTTATTAGACACTGTTGCAGTTGCAGCAGTATCATTTTTATATTATATTTTATTAAAGAACAGAGCTAATTTTATGCAATACATGTATGACCCATAAATATATCTATAGATAAAATCACGAATATTATAAGAATTTTATTACACCTCAAACTTTTTTCTCAGTTGAGCAAGGCCAGTCGCAGCGACTCTCTTGTCAGGGAGTTGTACCTGGAAAATGCCCAGTTAATGAGGGCTCTCCAGATTACCGAGAGTCGCCAAAAATCAGCGGAAGAAGCAAGTCGTCGGCTGCAAGTTGCAGCACTGGGACCACACAGTGTTTCATAAAAATTATTAGTGCATCTCTTAATATAAGTATTAATACAATATGAGCAAGATGATACAATATGAAAAGATAATAAAGAAGTCTGAGTAATATGTGGAATCTTAGTAATGAAAATGAAAATTAAGAAATGACAGCTTATTTTGACAGTTTAAAGATCTAGTTTAAATACAATAAAATACTATTTTTTCCCCAAATGTAAAATACAAGTAGAGAAAAATACTGAGGACCAATTTGGTTTGCATGTATATTTGTTAGATACATTCCATCTAGGTCATTTTTCACAAACATTCAGGTTAAAACATTTCACAAATCTGCTTCTCACCAGTGCCTGTCAAAATCTGGAGACCTTTTCTTATTTTTTTACAATATTTGATCATAACATAATGTAGTGAGACACCTAGTGATTTGTTAACTTAATAAACTGTGCTGTTTTCTTTAATGTAAGTAATGAAGGTAATATAAATTATATATTTAAATGTATACTATATGGTGCATTGTGATGTTATGAAGTATGACTGAGTTGTTATTTCTTGAGGCAGGGAGTAAGGAATCTTTACAATAGGTATGGATGATGTTACACATAGGGCATTAAGTGGTGTGCTGGAGCATTTGCAGGAAATTTATTCCAGCTGATCTTTAGATAATAAATCTATTGAAGCTTGTCTGTATTGTCAGTAAAGTTGGAAATAGAAATGGTAAACTCATAGAGTTCTAGTCACAATGCTTGTTCTTCCTGTAATAGTGAATGTGATTGTTAAACAGTGTATACATGGAACTGACAATGATACTATCTGCTTGATTTTTTTTATGTCGCTAGTCTTCGTCTTCAGTCAAAACTCAATCAAAAAGTGAATTGTGCCATATTATAAATATGTGGCCATTTCTTTTTTTTTAAGTTCACATAAGCATTTTTCAATGCCATAGACAATAGCATTTTTCCCCCTCCTTGTTTTACTTATTCACCAGTGCCTCTGTACTATGATACCAAAGTGTGTAGATTGTCATAGATAAAATAAACAGTTGAACCTGTGTCATGTTAATAAAATACACCTTAATTTATAATATCATTTATTATAAAGTAATAAAATATATATTTTCTGACAGACAGAGAAGACTTTAAAAGAAAAGAAAAAATCAGTAAAACCCATTAATATTAAAGGTGTGGAATCATAACTGTCTAAAATTAGGAGACTGGTTTTTATACTAGTATTATACAGTTAAATAACAAAAAAGAATATAAAGCAAGAAGATAGTCTAGCAAAGTTAAAGCGAAAGAGATACCACAGATAAAAAAAATTTCAAAGACCTTCACTTTAGCCAAACTTGTTCGTTATGTCATCCAGGAGTGCAGCTAACCGTTCATTGTCTGCATTCAGGGACAGGATCTTAACCTCTGCTCTCTTCAGCGTTACTGATGCCTTGCCAAGCTCCTTTTCATGCTTTTCTTTTTCTCGAGAGAATTCTTCTTGTGCCCTGTAGTGATTTAAAAATATATACATATATTGCAATACAAAGAAAGCTAAATCATGACAAGGAAGAATCAGAGAAAAAAAAATTCTAGTAGATGGGAAAACTATTTATACACCATTTCAATTTTTCTAGGCCTTAGTTTAGGAAAAGAGAGATAATCCCACGGCCTACAAATAGCATATGGGAAGTGATGAACACTAACATGTAAAATAGAATTCTGGAAAGAGAGCATATAATCATACAGAACTAATAACACTAAAAAGTATAATCACTTTGTTAAAAAAAATAATAAGTTTAGGTTCAGTGCTGTCCAAAATAAAATGACCCTAAAGAACCAGCCATTAGGTACAGAAAACTTTCCAAAATCAATGATGCCAAAGTGCTTTTAAAAATACGAAAAAAATAAATATACTAAATGGACTATATATCATTTAGCAAATTCTTTTGAAAGGGTTCAAATGATTTAATCTTTCAAAATTGATATTTGAGGTTCCACATGTTAAAGTATTGTGTAAAAATTTGCAAAAATAATAATTTCCTCTAGTTAAAAATAATGACCTAAAAACACCTTGGTTCATTTTAGTGAAACTGAGCACTGTCATTAGTTAAGACAGCATTTTCCCTTTCCCAATTCATTAGTGTCATTCCTAAAGTAAAAAAACTCCCATGAATTAGATGTGCATTTCTCAGTACAGCAAAATCATGCAGTTAACCAACTCACTTGGCATAATTTTCTTCTAGTGTTTGCAGGACAGTCTTGAAGGATTCTTCTTTCTGGGCCAACTTTGCCTTCAGTCCTTCATTTTCCGACTTGAGGCTCTCCTCGTTTCGTCGCAGGCACTCTGTAACCTCCCTCAACCGCTCAAATTTCCTAGACAACAAGAATGAAATATAATATGAATTCAATTTTTCTCCCCAACTAATAAACTTTTGTTATTCTGCTCAAATTTTTTAAATGACAAAATATAATGAGCATTAATTTCTCCCCACCTTCTCCAATCTAAAAACTTTCATTATACTTGTTCTGGTGTTTATCACAAACCCTTGACATGCTATCAGAAATGAAATTAAGTAGATAAGTTTGCCCTCCTTACTTGACCAGATCAAAGAATGGGGCTTCAGCATTTTTCAGCTCATCCAGGTACTGCTGGCTTTCCTTCTGAAGGGCCGATATTTTAGTTTCATACTGATTCTCCAGCAGCACTAGCTGATTCTTGCGTTCTTTCTCCTTAGATTCTTCTTGTTTCATGATCCTGGACAGGACTTCTTGCATCTTAACAATTGTTGCCCTTAAACATTAACATAATGGAAGGTTAATAATGATTTTTTTATGGCTGAACTGGAAAAAATATATACATTTCAAATTGGCAAACATCTACTTAATTTTCCATAACTTACTTCAGTGTCCCATTTTCTTCCTCCATGCTACTAAGTGCAATGTTCTGTTCTTCAATCTGCTGCTTGCTCTTCTTCTGTTCTTCCTCAAAAGCTCTAATCTTCCTCAGTAAAGTGTCCTGGAAGTGAAGAATTGAACAATTTCACTAACAAAGGACAAGATCACCATGATACATTTTGCTTCACAAACACAAACACACACACACACACACACACGCACGCATAGGCACACGCACACACACACACACACATAAATAAATATATATATATATATAAAATGATAATAAATAATAAATACACAAATATCACTACAAAAAACAGAATTACTTGCCTGCATTGATAATTCAAGGTTCTTCAGCCTTTCGTTCATCACACGTTCCGGTACCATTTTCTCTGTAGGTGCAGCCTGAAATTTTGATTTTGTCATTAGAATTTTCACACTGAGACAGCAATAACTACCAAAAACAAATTCACACAAACATTTCTAAAAATTCTTATTGCTTATAATAATCTGTTGACATGGGTGGAGGGGGGGGGGGGTCATTTTCATTAATACTTTTATGCCTAACCCAATCCTTGTAATAAAAAATGTGCAATGACAATGATAGTAACAATAATAATAAAAACAAAACAGCAACAACAACCAATAACAGAAAAATAACACTGGCAATAGCATTAATAACATTTGTAGTTACAAACAATATAGCAATTTTAAGTAAAAATAAAAGTAACTATAACAACAATAATAATCATAATGTAATGTATAAATATATTATAATATATATATATATATATATATATATATATATATATATATATATATATATATATATATATATATATATAATATATATATATAATAGTAATAATTTTCATCATTATTGTTATCCTTATCATTATTATTATTTTCATTATTGTCATCATTCCTATCATTCTCACCAATATCAAAAATTTCAATATCATTACTATAATAATAACAATAACAACAGTAATGCATATAATAAAACAAATAAGTACAGTAAATGACTCTGTTGACTATGTGCTTGTGGAGCCCTCTATGTATGGAAAAAGTAATGGAAAAAAGTCAATCAATCAAAGCAAGAGAGAACAAGGCACATACTCGCCACCACTGGGTTCTTGCATACTCACATGCAGCTGAAGGACCGTCTCGTTTGCACATTCACTTGGGGCATTGCTGATAACTGTGTTATTGAAGGCAGTTCCACCTGACATGATGGATATATTAGTGGTCTCTCCAACCACTGTACTATCCAATGTGGTACTCTCCAAAATTAAAGTTTCATCTGCCCGTGTTATTGTTTGTGCTCTTACAGGTGTACCATTACCGTCCTTTGATCGCTGCGGCTGGAAATATGTCAATATTCATACAAGTTGCAAGTTAGATACGGATTCTAATGTAAAGCCTAATATTAGCGAAATTTATAAAAATGCTGATAAATTTTTTTTAGGTTCATAGGTTCAACAGCAAATAATTTCTAAGTAAAAAATCTAAATTTAGCAGAATTCACACAACTGCTGATTAAAAACAATAAAATATCAAACATTGTAAAGAAATTATTACTTAAATGCATCCTTATTATCTAGTGTGGAATAAACCTAATCAATTTCTGATGAAAACTTGCTTTAAATACACAATTTATGGGATCTATTTACCTTGATAGGAGAAGGGCTGAAGGATATCAGTCCACTACATCTGCGTGCATCTTCCTCCTCCTTGGTGCTGCAAGGAATAGCATTATTGAAATAGCATATAAAACCACACACAAAAATTCTCTTGCAAAAAATGTATTCATGATCACTATATTACTATAGTTTTGCAGCATTTAACTCTTTCACATAAAGAGGGGAAAAAAATAAAAATAATAATTCTTAGTTCACCTAAGAAGTTGCTGGGCCAGGTAGGGGGCGAGAGACTGACGACCGGAAACCAGAGGATCAAACTTGACGTAGAGGGAGTTTCGCACCAGGTTAATCTTGTCTCCTTCTGTCCCGTGTGAGCCCAGGACATCAAGGTCTTCGGGATTGTTAAAGACTATCAAAAGAAGAGATGGTTAACTACCTGTACACGTTGGTAAAATTATGCTTACTTTCAAAGTTATATAATTAATGTTCATGGTTCTTTCAGCTAGGTCATAATGGATGATTTAAAATTCTTATATGGACTCACTATTCAACCAAAACAATACTAAACTTTAATCCAATCGAACCAGATGGCATGAATACGTGCCATGCCTACAGTAAGGCCATGAGAATGAATGGAAGTTCTTGTTTTGCATCTGGGCAAAAATGAAAATGGATGAGGCAGGCTATTTTCATTATTCCTTATTCACTTCTACAAGACTTTAAAGCCTATGATTTGCCATTTTTTGCTGAAGAACAGCATGACTATCGAGCAACCTTTGGGCCCTCCCCTAACTATTCCCATGCCCTATGTGTATTCTAGTATGTAAGCCTATACACCAGTCATATCAGGGCAAGAGAATTACACTGGGCTGATGCCAAATTGCCACTTCATCGCCAGCTCACTGGTGATGGCAGACACCACTGCAGGTGTGGTGTAAGATGTGTTTATTGTGCAAATTTAACAAAGTGGATGCATATGATTAAAGCGTTTGGTGTGTTGTGCAATTTTTGGGGGGAATTATGATATTTATTAAAATGATAAAAATTTTTGGAAGGCATTGTCAGGACCTGCAGGCAGTGGACCCAAAACAGGAACTTTGATTCTCATGGCCTAATAAAAATTTATTTACTGCCTTTACACATAGATGGCTTTATCACCAAGGATTCAGTTATTAGTCCTACCTATCTTACCTGTTTACCCTTTTCCTTGATCTTTGGAACATTTCTTTTGTATTATTTTATTGTATTTCATGTTGTTAATATTCTAATAACAATTTCACAATAAGAATAACAGTAGCAATATTAATAGAATTAGAAAAAAAAAAAAAAAATCTTGACATTTCAAGAATTGGGATAATCAGTCACGATCACTAGGGCCTAATGATAGACTCCTTGGTGGCTGAGTGTATGTGGAGCCATCTATTTGTAACAAAATCCACAAGCAACTACAGGGGAAAGTACATAAATCCCTGTCATTGGGTTAATTTCACTGCATTTAAATATTTCTTAATGCTGTTAACAACTTCAAATACTGTATCTTAAAGTTATCTTGACATTCATTACACCCCTTGGCAGTATTCATAACTTACAATTAATGAACTCTGTAAACTAAATAAATATAGTTAGTCATTCTAAATTCCCATAAAGATTTTTTACTACTTACACTGTATACTACTTTGTCATCATGTGACTATAAATTCCACATGATCAATCTACCTAAAATAATCTCCCACATCAAATTCTAAAGAAAATTATCCCTTACTTATAATGCCATACTGCAATACACATAAAACCTTTCCCTTAGACTTACAAGAGACAACCAATTAAAAATGACATATCCCCTTAAAAACTGCCTAACATGAACTACTGACATTATTGGTATGAATAGAAAATACATAAGCACCTGCTTCACAACTCACATTATTAATAGTACTTAATTTTGGGATGGACCACAAGTACAGTCAACACAAACCATTGCTTTCCCTTTTCCTCTAACTAAAACCTCATCCTTTATCCAGTAACTCACTTGGATAACAGGTTGCATCCTGAAAGTTTTCTCCTTCCGAAAGGTCTTGGTCACCACCAGCGACTGTTAAATTTAGTTTATATAAAACTGATTAAACATATAAGAACTATCAGTTTTGCACTTGAACCAAAAACAAAAAAAATATCCTTACATTCTGTGGCACTGGTGAATTCATCCACTCCAAAACCACCAAATGTATCTTGCTTTGTCGATGAGTGCTTTGCTGGCAGGGGACTGAAGACATCACGTGGCTGGACCGATTCGCTGATCTTCTCAGGAGTCTGTGGCTTCGGAGTAACTTCTGAAGCCAGTTGTATAGCCTCTTTCGATATCTGGTCAAAGTCAATACTTCCTAGAGAACTAGCAAACTCACTCTTGGTAATCTGTGACCCTGTGGTTTGTGTTTCTACAATGTTTTCGTCTTTGCTGTCTGGTAGTTTTTCTTTTACCTGCATGTTTTCCTGTGTTGCCTTCCTTTTATTTGGAGAATTAGACACAGTTGTTTTCGTTGCAAATGGATTAAAATCTGGATCACCCAAGTTGTCTAAGAAGTCCAGCTGATATCCTTTTTTGGGAACAATGTCTTCTTCCATTTCCTCTGCATTGTCAGCCTTCGGCATTTTCTTGATAATTTCATTCACAGATTTTGCATCCTTGGCCTGAGTTTTCTTTTCCTCAGAAGCTCCTAAACTTTCCTCCATCTTTTCACCAACAGACATATTTGTTTTATCAGGAGAATTTGAAACCGCTGATTTGGTTGCAAATGGATTGAAATTGGGGTCATCAAAATGATCAAGGTCAAGCTTATACCCTCCCTTTGGTTCAGTAGCAAAATCATCTTGCTTTCCTTCAGGAGCCTTTGCCACAGGCTTCTTTTTCTTCATACCAACTGGTTTTCCTGCCTCCTTAACTTGTTTCTTTTCCTCTTCAGGTTTTGGCACTTCCTCAGAGACTTTATTCTCCTCAGCCTTCTTGCTCTCTACCACTGGTTCTTTTTTCCTGTCTGGTGAATTGCTCACAGACATCTTTGTTGCAAAAGGATTGAAATTTGGATCATCAAGATTATCTAAGTCTAGGTTATATCCCTTTTTAGGAGGAATTACTTCATCATCTTGTACTTCACTGGTACCTTTGTTTTGTACCTCCTTAGCCACAACTGTCTTACTTCTAGGAGCATCCTTTCCCTTTGCACAGGAAGCATTTTCTGAAGTCTTCTTAACTTGTGTTGCCTTATCCTCTTCCTTGACACCTGCAACAGGCTTCTTCTCTGCCACCTTCTTTGGCTTCAGTGCATCTTCTGCTGACACTTTGTTCTCACCCACTGGACCGTTTTTCTTCTCTGGGGAATTGTTCACTGTAGTTTTGGTTGAAAAGGGATTGAAGTTTGGATCATCCAGATTATCTAAGAAGTCTAAATCATATCCTTTCTTGGGAGGAATGATTTCATCCTCTTCTTGTGCTTCCAATTTTTCTTCAGTCTCACTTTCTGTCGGCATCACTGTCTTCATTTCGACAGTTTCCTTTTCTTTTACAGATGAAGCCTTTTGTGTTACTTTTTCTGTTTCTTTGACAGCTACAACAGGTTTCTTCTTCTCTACCTTTTCCTTGGGTTTTGGGACTTCTGGTGTTTTGCTCTCAGCCACTTGTCCGTTTTTCTTGTCTGGGGAATTGGTTACTGTAGTCTTCAATGTAAAGGGATTGAAGTTTGGATCATCAAGGTTATCCAAGAAATCAAGATTGTAACCTTTCTTGGGAGGAACAGGCTCATCTTCCTCTTGTGTTTCTGAGGGTTCTTTCTGCTTTTCAGACATAACCATCTCACTGCTGGCAATATCTCCGTCTTTTGCACAGGAAGTCGGTATGTCTTCAACAACTATGTTTTCTGAAGTCTTATTTTGTTTTGTTTTCTCCTTTTCTATAACATCATCAACAACTACTTCCTTAGCTTCTGATGCTTCTTCAACCATTTTGCTATTTGCTGATGGGACATCTTTTTTGTCAGGGGAATTAGTCACTGTGGTCTTGGTCGCAAAAGGATTCAAGTTTGGATCATCTAGGTTATCTAAGAAGTCCAGATTGTATTCCTTCTTGGGAGGAATTGGCTCCTCCTCCTCAGAAACGTCCATTGCCACATCAGCTTTTCTTTGTTCTGTTGTCATCTCCTCCTTGGCTGATTCTACTACTGTTCCATCAGTTATGAGAGCAACATCTTCAGATATTTTGACTTCCTGTGTCTCCAAAATTTTGATAGAATCTTCCTCTTTCTGCTTTGATTCTGATTCCACCTGAGAAATAGGTACTTCTTTCCTCTCAGGCGAGTTACTGACTGAAGTCTTAGTAGTAAAAGGGTTAAAATTTGGATCTTCTACATTTTCTAAGAAGTCCATATTGTATCCCTTTTTAGGAGGGATTATTTCTTCCTCTTGCTCCTCAGAAGTACTTTCTGTTACCATCTCAGTCTTCAATGATCCATCTTCAACTGGCTCTTCATCAACTTGAGCATGGCTTCCTTCTTGCTTATCATAGTCGTTTTCAGACAATACTTGTGCTTGTGTCACACTCACAGGTTTAACAATCTCAACTAGTTCATCTGCTTGTGCTTCTGCCACAATTTCTTTGGTCACTTTCTCTGGAGAGTTGCTGACAGCAGATTTTGTAGCAAAAGGATCAAAATTAGGATCCTCCAGCTTGTCAAAGTCCAAATTGTATCTTTTCTGGGGAGATACAGCTTTTTCATCTTGCGGATCCTGTTCTGTTGGTGGACTGGACTGCTGCACTTTTTCAGCAAACACATTCTTGCTATTTGCTTGCCTGTCTTCTGGTACTACAACAGCCTCAGTTGCCTCAGTCTGACCTGTTTCTTTATAGTTTACCTCATTGGCTTCTTGCACTTCCAGCAATGCTGTTTTCTCAGAGATATCTATAATACCTCCAGATTTATCCAAGCAATCTGACTGTCTTTCTTTAGTAACAGAATTTGCAACTACTTCACTCTTCTCTTTGTCTGGAGAATTTGTTACAGCTGCTTTTGTTGAAAAAGGATCAAAACTTGGATCATCCATATTATCTAAAAATTCTAAGTTGTATCCTTTTTTCGGCACAATAACATCATCTTCCTCATCTGCCTTCACAAATCCAGTCCCTAAATTGCCTGCAACCTCTTCTGGACTTGTTTCCGTTTGTCCTTCTTTGCCACTTTCTTTCAAGTGCAATTGGCTGTCATCATTTGGCACTTTTTCAGGTTTTGGAGAAGAGGTCTCCGAGAGGATTATAGCCACTTTAGGTTCCACTACGCAACTGGGGGAATCCTCAATTTCTCCTGGTTTGTTAGGATCTACATGTGCCAAAGGCTTTTCCTTGCCCTTTACAGGTGTGTTCATATCTGATGTGTCACTGACAGCAACTTTTTCAAAAGAAGCTGTAAGCTGGTCAAAGGTATCATTGTGCATGTTGGGCTGTAGTGAAGTAGAAATTTTCTCTGCATCTTTATTCTCAGGTGATAAGTTTAGAGAAGTATTTTCAACTGTATCACTTGCATCATGAAAATTATCCTCTTCAGGAATGTCTTTAGTTTCATTCAACTTCATATTCTCAAAACTGTTCAGAAGTGTGCCAACATCAGACCTAATAATAGGAGAATGGAAAATCTGAGCAAAAAAATCCAGTCATGAATACAAATATGCAAAAACAGCATAACTAACAATATGCTCTTACTTCTTTTGATTATAATCTCAACTTAAAGTCATAAAGTAAGACAACTACAAACATAACCTCACCTGTTTAGAGTATTGTTGGCAGAATTAGAAACTTCCAAGAGAGTGGAATTTGCCTTTGGTACAACAGGTGATGGTATGATTTGTGCAATAGCTGTGTCATCTAGCTCCCCAGCGCTCTCATATTCTGAATCTGCAGACACACAAAAATGTAAATTATTTGCTTTTAATATATTACAGCCTTACAGCATGTCTTCAACTATTCTACATTTCTACTAAGTGAAAAAAAGAATCAAAAGTTTAACTTTGGATTCAAAGCTACATCATCAGTGTTCTCAATGAAACCCGACTTAGCTGTTCTTAGACTGCGATAACCATAAGGGCTCCTTTCAACTTACCAGAGTCCCCAACCAAAGCAGCTACAGGTGATCCTCTAAATTCAGCAACTGTAGGATGTAGCAGTTTATTATCCACAACTGTTGACCTGCAAACCAAATTAGTAGAAGTATTTTAGCATTTTAAGGTGAAAAAACTACTATACTGCAAGTAGCAGTCCCATTTTGATTTTGCAAAATCTATTCTTTGGTACCATTGATAATAATTATGATCATCAACAAACATAATTCATCAGCTATGCTATGAAGCATGGCCTGCAACAGAACCAATAAGGAAAATAAAAAAACATGGAAATTATTGATGAGATCACATCAGACCACTGGCCAATCCTACTGACTCTGATGTGGAATCAATCAAGATTCTCTAAAATGTATTCAATTTCTCATACAAAATGGCACAAACTGAAGATGAATCCAAGTTGCATCAAGGCAAACAGAGTAGAATTTATTCAGTTAAAGAGAAAAATGTGCTCCAACTTGCAGTATAGGGAGTCTAAAAATAGATCCAGTACAGAATATGGTATCACTCAGCAACAACTAAAATAAAATGGAATCATGACGCCAACATTGGCATCATCGGATGTTCCACTGGCACTTAATAATGCTAGCATCGGTCTCACCATATAAGAACAGAAATGAACAAAGGAGAAAGAGAGCAAAAAAAGCAAAAGAGAAATAATGGCAGAGCAAATGAATGATTGAAAGAATGAATAAATGAATGAAAGAAAAGGAAAGAAATGGAAAGACAGAGAGAAAGAGGTTAAATGGCAGAGAAAGTTAGAGTAAAATGCCGTAGAAAATTGCTTAACCCACTGATTCTAGGAGGAACAATATTGATGGCATATTGCCTATGAATTTAGTATAAATTTTGTTTATGAATACATTATTATTACTATTATCATCATCATCATTATTAGCATAATCATCAATATCAATCATCATTATTAATATAACTATCATCACCATTACTGATATTACAAAGATGATTAACAAAAAATATAGAAAAAACACTATTCCTAATGCAGGGGGGGGGGGGCCTGAAAAATAAAGAAAGGTACATGATCACACATTCTACCTGTGAGTTGCTGACGGAATCTGATCGATGACAGCAGTAATCATCTCCTTGGCATAGTCTTTATATGCACTGTGGTCAATCGCTGTGACTACTTCCGTCCTTTCACGCCAAGTCCTCTCCTCATCCAGTTCCGAAATGACTTTGTATTTGGACGGTGTTGCAATACTCTGGGAAGAAGCAAGTCCATATCACATTAATGCTTTAAGGAGCCCAAATTGAAGTCAGTATGATGGTATTGGATCAATTATTACATCTACACCTCAATCAGAATAAATAACAGATGATGAATCCCGTTTCAACCCTTCAATAATGAGATTTAGAGTTCATCTCATCATTCCCAAAAGGAGATTGGGTTTGTTCCAACTCTACGGCAATTTCCTAACCTTTGGCGTCGGTCCACTGGCTCTTGTTCCCAACACATTATTCCCGAGCTCTTTGAAAGGAGAACGTTTGGTGTTGTCGGTAGCTTGTGGACCAGCTTTCACATGGGCATTTTGACTAGGCAAGTTCTCAGTAGGTATCACATTCTCATCCATTGGTAATAATTATTCTGAAATACAAGATCACTTCATTATGAAAGTCAAAGAAACGTTTCATAGCAAGACATTAATTTTAGTTATTAACTGCTGAGATAACTAGATGCAGTCTACAAAAACTAGTAAATAAATAAAATAATAAACAGCCAAATAATCACATAAACATCTCTGTGAACTATCTATTAGTTTGGTTATATCCAAGTCAAGAGCTGCCTTGATTGTAACGGTATCTAGACATGTAGCAATTCTCAGCGTCACCCTAGAGCAAAAATTATACCATAGTGTCACTTTTGATTAAATAGTTCACTGATACAATTATGCAATTTCCTTCAAGATTTAAGTCTTAAAGCTACATTGCACAAGTATTATACATACAAGTCTGAAAAGGCTGACAATCGACTTATACATGTAAGATTGCAACTTGTTATCGATTCTCACCAAGGAAAAATGGTATAGGAAAAATATCATGATCAACAAAGGCTTACAAACCACACACCAGCTTACTGATTGCTTAAACCCAACAATCAGACAGTATGCCTTCTATCATAAATGAAAAAGTCCATCCAAGTGGATTACGACAAACACAAAGGTAAATATAAGAAGAAAATCCAATTTCAAAACCATGGCAGGGACTAATATAATATGGCATATTCTGGTACATGTTGAAGGAAAGCCAAGCAACACCCATCACTTGATACCCTTAAATAATCCACATTACACCACCAGAGAAAATAACTTACAACTGACAAAATTAACCAGCTGCACATGGTATTCCTCCTCTTTGCCGCTACCTGTCATATTACGAGATTTCGCGGCTTCATTGTATATAGTCCGTGCGATATCAATCAATGATTCAGACACTATGAAGGGGTAACTTGAGTGTGTGTGTGTGTGAGAGAGAGAGAGAAGAGACAAATTCACTTGTTATAGATAAACATCCAGAGATTCTAAAGGCTTCATAAATTAATAACAAAGCTATTATCAAATATACTGTGTAAGATCAGGTTGGTTATGATTGATTGCAATTTACATTCTAACAATAAGACAAAAAATCATATTAATCCTATTAGTATTAGAGGATATGGAATTTAATCCTGAAATACCGTTAGCTACCTGATCTTTGATATTCAAATAGCTAAGTCAATCACATCTCAAATCTAAAAAAAAAAAAAAAAAAAGATCATGAAAAAACGGTCACTTCGTTTTCTTACGATTTTTCAAATATCATTAAAAAATATATAACGACTTTTTTGTTTCTTTCTCGCCTAAACAACCTTATAGACCAATGTTTTAGAAAGCACACCTCCGAGTAAAATAAAACACAATCTTAAAGTCATTTCAGCACCACTTACCACCGTTTTTAAAAGGCCAGACGACACACAACACAGGCCAACCTCTATTTTCTCCTCAAAACACCATGATATTTCGCCAAATTCACTTCACTTCAACTCGCAACCACTCTCGAAATATTAATTTCCCCATTGAGCATGTTGGTCTCACCTGTTAAAGCCTTTTATACGAAGAAAATCGAGAGAAAATACACCACGTCTGACACGCTTCGACACCGGTTTGAATTTAAACTTCCTCTTCGCGCAGGCGCAGTCGTGACGTGCACGAGGTGCCATGGGGTCTTATTAATATTCTTTTTATATGCTTTCCATTCCATCGTTATCGCGGATTAAAAAATACTTTCATCTCTATTCATAAATCCTACTTCTTGGGTAAATTTAGATCGCGT